TTGCTAAGATCACGCGAATTTCAGTGTTATCTTTTTAGTCTGTCTCCTAAACGATCCTACAATAATACGGTTTAGCAAAAAAGGTTTTAGACGAAAGTTACTGAACTCTGAAGGGAACATTTTGTGGTAAACTCGACTTTCAATTTGAAATTCATTTTCGACGTCATTTCAAGGTCATCTTTCTTTTTATTTACAAAAATTTGTAATCTCATTTCTGATCTTAAATCCTTGAAGCAGCCAAGTATATTTTAAAACTATTTTTAGTAAGACTTCTGGTCTCAAAGAATAATATTGCTGAAATGTTATCTGTATAAATTAAAATTGGCACAAGAATAGAATAAGGATGATTTTCATCAAAGATTGAAGTTTGCTGAACGAATGATCGTATATACGTACAGCCAAATTTCTTAAAGGAAATAGCTTTTTCCACTGAATATATCTTTCGGTTAAATGTCCACATTATTTATCATAATTATATAATAGATTATAGGTACTAAAGAATCCATAGTCTTTTTTGTAATCACATACATAATGTCCATAAAAACTGAATATTTAGACAGATATAATAAATGGTAGAAAAAAAGAATATTTTTCATAGATATGAGTTTGACACGAGAAAAGTATGAAGATATGTTGAATAATCAAATCGCACCTGCCATAAATGAGATTATCGTTGAGAATTTCCCCACATTACAAATAAGCTATTAAGAAGCCATCTCGTTCCCTGGTATATCGTCACTAGATTACTTTTTATGAAGCTATCTCAAAAAGAAAGTTTATGCCATTACACCTGCTAATTTAGAAGATTTACAGTAACAAATTATTGACAAGATTAAAAAGATCTCAAATGATATGATTTAATAAGCAATTTTAATATTATGTAATTGCATGGGATATTGTCAACTAAGAATGGAGAACATTTACCTTCTACGGTTGGATATCAATTTGAGTCACTTCCACCATCCAGAAAGTACTTCGATTGTGAAAAGCAAGAGTAATGACATTAATCAAGTACCTCGAAGAAAACTGAAGTCTTGTGTCCAGATAGTGTCAAAATTAGCGATGTGATCCACTATTTTTCATTATTTTTTAATCTGGTTGTGGCGGGGAATTTCGGGGGGCCTTAGCCGTGCTCTCAAATTTCTTCCGCCACAAGGCCTGTTTGGCTCTTATCCCCGATTATTTTAGGGTGCAAGACCGCCGTTTAATTAGGGCGATCGACGGGGATAGTGCCTAGTATCGCAACGTACTCCGGTTTACTCCCAGGGCGACTGTGCAGTGTGGGCAAACGTACGGGGACTCGCGATCTCTTCTATTCCAGGCCTTGATGTCCAACAATTTGGCTTCCTTCCGTCTTCTCGTTTGTAATATGCTGGTAACTCTGGTTGTGACACTCTACCTCGGGTCGGAAGATCGTTCGAATTCGCGCGTATTTCACTTATCGTGGGAACCTAAAAATAACGAACCAGTGTTTTCCGATTACAACCGTCCATGGCTGAAAATAATCAGCATGCAAAGAAGGTAGGGTGACAAGAAGCCAAATTTATAAAGAAAAATTGATCACTTTTTATTAATCTTATTTCATCCAACATACACACGGGGTCTAATTAACTAAAGGTCAGTATAACTCAGCACAATTCTATGTAGCAGGAAGGACTCGAATTAATAGACAGACTAAAATTCTTTTATTAGATCTTTGATTAAACGAAAATGGCGGAATGGTCAGCGCGACGTAATCGAAGAATTACTACCTGGTTTAATTAGGCTTAACTTTCAACTACGTCCTAATAATTGAACAATTAGTTAGCGCGACCTAACTAAACTACTTACTATCCTCTAATTAATTTAACACTCACACTAAATTTGGATACAGGCGAAGGGTCAGCCCGAATGATCTAAACACTAATTTTCTTCGCGCCTAACTCTATCATGCGCGGTAAATTAGAACACTGGCGAAAGGTCAGCGTGAATGATCTAAGCTATGATTTTCTTTACCTAATCCTAACACTCACGTTAAATTCTACGAGATGGCGGAAAGGTCAGCGCGAATCACTTGAAACAATAAGTATCGGCGTCGAAGGATCCACGCGTCGGCGACCTGTTATACCGAGAAATTCACGCCCGCACTCCTCGATTTCTAATAGTGAGTGGCACTTTGTTTACTTACAATTTTCTGCTGAAGGTTCGACAAGCAAGATTACTGCGGAAAGAACTAGCACAATCACTCCTTCTGGCTAGAAGAGTAGCGGCAAAATGGACGAGAATCGGCTTTTCGCGGTCAAAGATCGCTCTTCTTCTCCTATTTCCGAGAAGAAATACTATTATTGGTCGATATGCTAATTTGGATATCGGTAGCAATCTCTAAATATTTCATCATTGGTCCGTATGTAAATTCGAAAGATACAGTGCCCTCATTTATTCTCCTACTTTCGTCGCTATTTACCCTTTCTCACCCCCCACTAAGTTAGCTAGCATTGATTGATGGGAAAGATCTACCCCTACTCTTATCTATTTTTCTATGCGGACGGAAATCAAATTTTATTCTAATCCGCATTGGTCGTGACGTCACCAGCGAGTTTCGTCAGAGGTTCGAATTTTATCAGTCAATTTATCAATTTAATTTGTCGGAACGTTGGTCGCTTATCATTACATAAAGAGGTTTGTCGGCCGCATACAAATTTTCTTAATTCGGTATTTTCCCATTTTCGTTTTTAATTTCAACTTTAATTAATTGCGAGTAATAAAATAATTTAAGTCATTTCATTCGTAGCGCCCTCATCTTCGCATTTACCTTTAATTCTATTTATCCTTTCGCTCGTTTCATATAGTCTATCTCACTCGCTCTTATTTAGTTTGTCTCACTCGCTCTGTCTCACTCGCTCTCTCTCAGTCTGTCTCGCTCGCTCATGTTCAATTTATCTCGACCCTTCAAAATGGCCGCTCGCTCTTTCGTGCGTGCACCTCGTGCTCCGATACCGGTTTTTGGAGCGCCTCCTGGAGCGCTCCTGTTTCGGTCAGGTGATGTGTTTTCGAGGGTTTGTGTTTCCGGGTGTCACTAGTGGTCATCATAAGTTTGAATGTGTGGCGCTCAGGATGTCATCGATGGTGTGCGGCTGCCCGATACAACTGATTGCCGGCTGCCACTACATCGGCGATTTTCTGCTCGCCCCAGGTGTGCCAGCGTTCCACGAGTGTTAGTGTTAGTGTCTGGGAGTGTAACGGACCTGCATGTATCATCAACATGCATTTCCGTTGCATTTCCCAGTTAAGTTTCCCGTGCTTTTTCTTCGGTCGGTAACAGGTGATCGTGAGTGAGTGTGTGCGTGCGCTCTCTTATTTTGTAGTGCGCTCCATTTTTGAGTATCCGTCGGATCGCGTTCATCTGGCTTGCTTCGCCAATTTCTCCGGTGTTATTGTTCGGACATAACAAAAATGAGTGTTTGTTTTAGGGCGTGTCTGGGTTCGCGTTATATGACTGGTTACGGGGCGGCAAGGGACGGGGATGACTTTCCTGAGGTGTTGCAAATAATGCAACACTCTCAGGCAAAGCCTTATAATGTATCACATTACATGGTTTCCAAATAAGTGATTTACGTAAAAAGTTACACTAACCTTCATATAACCTTGGAAATTAATATCAAGTTAAAGATATTCAAGATTGTTGGTTCTCAAACCTATCTTTACATTTATTCGTTCGCAAATCCTGAAAACTTTAACGAAAACAGCTTCTGAATGATTTTTCAACATTTGTCCTTCATTTTATCCTTTGTAATTCAAATTTTTCAATTTAAAAACTATCATTCTAGACATAAAATTGCTTGCTCTTTCAAAATCGAATGTCAATTATATGGGCTTTTATTAAAAAAAATCACGTTAACCTTTGAATAATTTTAAAGGTTTAACTTAAGTTCAAATTCAAGGTCATAGTCAGATCACTCTTTTGATTTCCTAAAACTTTTGTATTTAAGGTACTAGTGCCTATTAGAACCTAAAAAGAAATCATATTTTCCACATTTTTGTTTACACTTTATTTATCAGATAAGGTAATCAAACTTTTTTTATAATATCAAGGAGCTCTTGTAGTACGTAAAAAAAAATTTTCTTTTCATTATTTCAATCATGCGCGCCTTATAAAGAGCGCCAACATCGACCCTTCAAAAAAAAGCATGATCTATGGCGGACAGTTAATCTCTGGAGTCTGAAACAAAAAAATTAAAATAAAAAGGAAGCGGTTTTACACAAGAATTGACCAGAAAATTTGAAAAATTAACAAGACATGTCGACCGTTCAAAAAAAAAGTTCTAAAATCGATCTTTTTTCCGATATTTTTTTGACACTAAAATTTTTTTTTTTTAATTTTTTCAATCAAATTGTGATGGATTCTTATGAAAATAACTTAAATACACAAAATACTTCAAGATTTATTTAAATCGAGTTACTAGATTCGGAAATTAACTGTTCGCCAGTTAAAAAAAAGTGATTTCGAGAAAAACGTGTTCAAAGTTTATTAAGAACATATTTTTAAAAAAGTCTATTTTTATGGCTTACTATCAGTTAATCAGCAATGCCTGAACCATATAAAAGTAAGCCTTTATCCTCGATTACCTGCTGTTCATTAAATTGGGCCTTTTTCTTTTCCAGACGTACTCCCTTCGTTGCCACCTTGCTGGCTTTTTCAGCCATCTACAGTGAGCCGAGAGCGTGCGCTTACTTAGTTGATATACCTCGTTTTCAGTTTCGAATTTTCATATAATATTTTAAGGATTTATTTTTAAGGTTCAAGCGGATCGAAATCCGTGAAAAAAATTTTTTTCAAAATTTTAATAGGTACTATATCTTTAAGTATTTTTCTAGTGCCCTTATTTTCTGAATAATTCAGGTATATACATACTTTAGGAACATTCTGTACTATTTGAAATATTTTTACTAGTATAAATATATAATATACATTTTCTATAGATGCAGAGTAAGTACAATAATTTATTATATATATTTTTCAGGCTAATTGCAGTATCAGCAGTACTACATTTTTTCAACGTACTTTTGGTTAAATGGAGTACATTGCAGGATCAAAAAAATCATCGGAAATCGTTGAACTCATCAACAAGAAAAATAGCAGGTGCCATAATGTTATATTAACGTACTTGTGCATTTATAACAACTGAACTTATGAAAAAATAATCTCTCTTGAAATCTCATGTATATATTATTGTAACTATTCCTCTTGAACACTATAGTACTTACTAAATATATTTATTCCATCATTATTTGCTTTTTTCTTGTAACTATTTATAAAAGATATAATCCTTATTTTTTAATTAACAATTCTACCATTTTTATGCTTAGGCAAACCCCGCGGAAAAATTTAGGTGGTCGGTTTGGGGGTAGAAAATTCACCAGTTTTCCATCAGTCGGCGCATTTCATTTTTGTAATAGCTAATTATCGCCGTTCTTTGCTTAGTAGTGGTCTCGGTGTATAGTAATATATTTGCGCTCCTTTATTTATTTATTTATCCTCCTTTATTTATCCTATATTATATTCCTCTTTCGTCAGCTGCTCTTGTTCGCCTACCGTCGGATCGCGTAGTCACGTTTGTAACGCCGTTTTCTCGGACGTGAGTGAACTGAATTGTATGAAACAAGGTATTCCGGAGTCGTAAAATAAGGATCTATTCTATTTACGCGGTCACGTGGCAGGGAAAAGGGTGGTAACCGATTTAATAGTACTGCAGCGCATCACAATCTTCATTTAATAATATCATACTATCGGAGAAATATCTTACAAAGTTTTCCCAAATTCTAAAACCGAAAACATCTAAAGATTGTATCTTTGATGTTGTACCTTCGGATAACTTTAATAGATGAATTTTCTTATCTTTGACAATAGCTTCTTGAACAGCTTCTGGATAATGTCCACTTCATGAATCAGCAATTATAGCGATCTTCCAACTTTTCGATACTATTTTTGTAGTACGATTTGTCTTTAATCTCAAAATCGGCCTCTATTTCAGCGATCACTTCTTCATCGGTCTTAAATTTCTTTCCAGCGACAATTCTCTTGAGATTTACAAACAGGAAAAAGTCGCTAGGGGATACGGTGGATGCGGAAGCAATTCGAAGCCCAATTCATTTAATTTTGCCATCGTTTTCATCGATTTGTGACATAGTGCATTGTCTTGATGAAACAGTACTTTTTTTTTCCTCAATGAGGCCATTTTTTTGCAATTTCTTACTTTAAACGTTCCAACAATACTATATAACAGTCGCTGTTGATCGTTTTTCTCTTTTCAAAGTAGTCGATGAAAATTATTCCATACGCATCCCAAAATACAGAGGCCATAACCTTCCCAACCGATTGTTGAGTTTTTCCACGCTTTGGATTCGGTTCATCGCGTGTAGTGCAGTCAGCTGACTGGCGATTGGACTCGCGAGTGAAACGGTGGAGCCAATTATATATAGATATACACAATGTGACTACATATACCATTCGGGACGTATATATTTGTATTCTACAGATATATACCCTGTCACATATTGACGCAAAAATTTGGGTTTATTACGATAGAAGAGATCCAAACACTGCTTCGAATCATGAGTACATCGTCTTCGGTGCTCATATGGCTTGTACGGAATTCAGTAAACTACTTAGGAATGGTTGCTTCTCTGGCGCAACGTCTGGATAACACTGATCAAACCACTTTTTGATATCATCAGAGCTTTTTTTCATTAAAAAATAATGTTTCATTAAAACACGCAATTCCTTTTTATCCATTTTTGTACAAAAGTTACTTTACTTAAAATGCTATGTCTCATAAACTAATAATCAGATAGCTGTCAAATTTATACACATGTTTTGAAGGTTGGTGCTAACAGAAAATGATATGGATTTAATTCTAGTGGCGCCCTCTCTTAGAAATGATACGAACATTTCAGCCGAACTGCTAGAAGCACACGTTTACTATCCATTTTCACCCACATTAGGATAAAAGACTTTTTTAACCACGTTTTTAATACTGAAAAGGAAACGAACAAGGAGAAGAAAATTACGTTCGATAAAGTTTTCAAGTCAAAAACAACAGCTGACACTCCCTATAAATCTCGATATTTCAATAGTACTGTTAATGACTTAAATTCAACATTACATCCGCTTGATTCTACATTTGAATCCGCTATGTCTATTACTGATGATGGTGATGAAGATGAATTTAGTAAGACTAGTGAATCAACACTTGATAGAACCGCAATAAATTTCTAATAAGTTTTAATATTTTTTAAATATTCGCAATAAGTTTTTAAATATTCTGTAAATGTAATGAATACACAAAAAGTCGTATAAAATCAGTATTTTTAGACTACACATATCTATAGTTAAATGACCAGATTTTGATGCCATCACGTAGATATTAGGTGGTTTAAATAAATTTTTTAGTATTAGCGGTCTAAACTCATTCTTTGTTTACTTTATAATTATAAGAAGGTCAAACGTCATTTTTCTGCAGTATTTATTGTCGGTTGTATCATATGTGGGTTGTTGTAGAAATTGATAGAATAACACATTCAATTTTTCTTCCTCTGTTATTCGTTTAGAATGAATTTCTAACTCAAATCCATTTTCATCAGAGTTATAGATATTATCTTCTCCATACTAACGGATAGAATTTCGTGTTAAATGTACAAATTTAATTTATCTACAAAGTTTTTTTTTATGTAATAAATTTATTTATTTTTGTGTCTACTATTCTATGATCTTTGTCAGGAAGTCGTATGTCAGGAAAAACCATATTATTCTTGACTTACAATATCCATTACGAAGATCGGTATCACAAAAAATATTGCCTATTTTATAGAATGTTTAAAATTTTTTAGTACAAATTCAGCAATTGCATTTTGTTATTCCATATACGAGTACATACCACCTGTATTAATTTGATTTACCCAACGACGTATTTATCGTTCAGACGATACTTTTTTATACTTCTGTCAAACAGTGCCAATGTGTAAATTTTCCACCTTTGCAGATTTCCAGTATTCAACTGCTTTGTTTATGTATTCATAACTTAATTTTACATCATTCGTGGTATATTCCTCAGGGTCAGTAGATTATTTGTACCGTACATTATCTTCAAAGACCATCAATTCATAATTTTAAAATTCTTCTTCAAATTCGAGTATATTACCTTCTAGAACTTACATTTCGCTAAAGTTATCCATAACATTAAAAAAAAATTTTTCAATATTTTCTTTCAATTCTGATTCTGCATGGTTAAAAAGAGTTTCTTGTATATTCATAACTTGAAACATTATCAGCAGAAGATTAAATATATTCATTAGATTGATTCTCATTGTTGTTAAATGTTAAAATACTTACGATTAACACATTTTAAACAGAAACACTTACTGCTAGACACTTCTGATAGATATTTTTCATTGTCGAAATATTTCATTCGACTAATCTTATACTAATTAGAGTAGAAGTTATCACAGGAATTAAATAGTCGAGAACAGCAGCTTATCAGAGTGTAAAAATACTTACTTATCAGCAAAACTTATTACAGGAATTTAACACACGAAAATAAAAAGTTTTTGAGTTTCGACACTTTAGAGTACAAATAATAGTAATAGAACTGCCATTTCATTTTTAGCATATTTTAAATATATATAAGTCTCGATTGTCTTTAAATTTCATAGCAACCCCACAAAGGAATATTTTTTTAATATCTTTGGAATTTTGAAAATATAGGAGTGGTTAACCGCCAAAAAATCGCTTTTTTAATGAAATTCTTGAAACACCTCGACTAAATCTACCGTTTTCTGGATAAAAATGTATATATTAATTTAATTTAAGCGAATTCGAAAAGCAAGTACACGAAAACTTGTAAAAATAGCAATATTTTTACCAAAAAAAACAATTGTCATAAAATTGCCATTTTATAACAAAAAATTTGGCGTTAAAATTATATGAATAATCAATTTTTTTTTAAGAGATATTAAGAAAAGGTTATTTTTAGAGATGATTTTTAAGTGTTGTTTTCACCCTCTAAAAATGCTTCCCCGCTGATAAAACAAAAACATGTGTCTCATTTTGTTTATATTTTACGACATATTACAATTACATAAAAAGGGAAACTTGGGAAATCGACTGACAAAAGATAGCTAGCTGATGTTTACTTCGAGTACCTCGGGTTTATTGAACTGTCAGGTAGACGGAGGGGCTACAAATTATTTAACAACAGTGATAACGCAAGGCCAGACGCACGCAATCGATAAGACATTGTGTGTGCGAGAGAAAGAAAACATACACGAAGTTAAGTAAAACCGCGCACACGCTTTTGCTCGCAAACTATATAAATTAGACGCTACCTCAGCTTTGTCGCTGGCCAGTTGGCAAAGCCTTATCGCCTCACCCTCGTTGTTATTACTAGCGATGACACGCCGATGCGGACACCTCTCGTCGAAGGCTTTATCCCCTGCGATCTGGATACGATCTGGAGCTCGTCTGCTCAGGAATTTGAGGTAGGCCACGGCTTCGCCAACAAATCGTATGAGAGACTTGTCACGATGATGCGCAAGAAGTTATATACTGGTCGTCGCACGGATACCTCACTAAATCTGGTTTCCCTTGACTGAATCTTGCCCGCTCATCAGTCATCACATCGAAATCCTATAAATTTTTTGTTTGTTTCAAGATTAGATGCGGTGACTTGTGCGGAAGGAAAATACTATCGGTATACGCGCATGCCACCCCTCTCTCTCACTCTCTCACTCTCTCACTCTCTCTCTCTCTCTCTCTCTCTATCTCTCTGTCTCGCTCTCTCTCTCTCTCTCTCTCTGTCTCGCGCTCTCTCGCTCGCTGCTTTGTTCGCCTCGGAGCTGACGCCACTCCTCCCACGCGATTCAATTCACGAAACGAAAAATCCTCGTTACACAACATAATAATAATTTTTTTATCTGTGCATGTAATTCAAAGTAACCCAAAATAATACAATTGCATTTTACTAGCTTTATAATGATCACTTTCAAATTTTTAGAAAAAATGGAAAAAAATTTTTTTGGAAAAAATTCTGAAAAAGATTATATTGACCCTTTACCATAAAAGAAAAAGTTTGTCTCTTTAGATTTTTGTTAAATGTTACTTACCGGAGGAAATATAAATAATTTAAAAATATATATATACATTAGTGGCCCTATTTTATTAATCACTATATATATATAATAACAAGTTGATGCTCGTACACTCCAACTATGTTAACAGTTAGAC